AAAATATCAATAAACTTAAGTGGCAACAGAGTTCACACGCTGTTCTAAAATAGATATCCTTCATTTAATAAGCGAAACTTGTAATTTAACGAAAATGGGTATGCTGGGGTGTTCGAGTTCGAAGTTTAGACGATGTGTGAAATGAGAATGTATGGGGGGGGGGGAGTTGTAAATATCGTCCAAAAAGCCTGCTCTCATTTATGGATGAGCCCTCAGTACATTGTAGTTGCCTCTAGGCCATTAAAACTCACAGTATTTTATTTCGTATAAAACTATGAATGTGTTTTTATAAAACCCTCGTTGTCTACTGGGAAGTTAATTCATATTTTATCTTCACGTTGTAGGGTGGTTTGAAGACGACTTATGAGATGTGTGTATCCTTCTTGATGTACTATCCCAAGGTTCCCATGGCAAGGTGCTTAACCAGGTATAACAACAAGTCACTTTACACCAATACAACCCTCTACATATATATATATATATATATATATATATATATATATATATATATATATATATATATATATATATATATATGCATGCTTTTGCATAAGTGAATCTTAAAGATGATCGATTCGATTCATAACACATTTAAGATGTGCATACTATTGCAATGTTCAGTTGATCTGATGTCAAATCTATTTTTCCATTTTTTACATGTCTCACTAAAACTTGTACTGTTGTATGTCTCACTAAACTTTGAACTGCTCGTCAGAACTGACTACATGGCACCCTTAGATGAAGGCAACTACTTCACTCAGATCAACCAAATGGACTGGGCTAACTCCACCGTCAGATCCGAGTTCAAGAAATTGTCTGACAATTCTGGTGTGCTTGACGTATGTTTATTGGAAGCTGGTGGACAAAGCAATGTAAGTTTATTTTACTTCACTTAGCGCTACTCATGAATGCTCGAATCATTTTTTCGGACAAAGAAATATAGTAGTTTGTAATTGTAGTACAGCAATGAGTAGCTTTAAACGATTCTTTTTATCAAAGAATGAAATATCAGAATTTCTAGATTTTTTTTGTGTGTAGGTTTATTGGGCCTTTGAATTTATTGGGGTGGTGGAATATATATATATATATATATATATATATATATATATATATATATATATATATATATATATATATATATATATATATATATATATATATGTGTGTGTGTGTGTGTGTTTATATAAATATGTTTATATGAAAGTAACTATATATGCATGAATGTACAGAGACACTAAGATATACATTACGTTTCTTTCAGTACACTTGGAACAAAGCCCCACGACCATCCGCTACTCAAGAATTTCAGCCACCCAACCCGTGCACGATCTAATCCTGACTGCACTGGCACTAAATCTTCTTGACAGACGTACATCACTGTCCGTCTTTATAACGTTTTTGTGTTGTCTTTTTAGTTTTTTATCATCTTAAACAAATATTTTTATAATCTGTAATTTTTTCATCTCAGTTTATATTTGCAAGTTTGATTACAATAAACTGCTTTTTTTATATTTTAAATTTCTTTAGCTTTTCATTGATGATGTTTTTTTTAAAGACAATAAGTGTGCTGATGGCTTAGATATTACTTGGATCCGATTAAACATGTTTTTGCACGAATACATGTGGAATTCAACACCACCCATAAACAATACCACCCTAATACAACTATACCCTAATACGAAACTCCTAATACAACATCAACTAATACAACAACACCCTAATACACAACACCCTAAGACAACACCACCCTAATACAACACTGCCCAAATACAACACCGCCTAATACAACTATACCTTGATACAACACCCCTAATACAACACTGCCATAATGAAACACGACCCGAATAAACACTGCTTAAATCATAACACTAACCTAGTATAATATTACCATAATGCAAAACTACCAAAAAACATAATTACACTAATACAGCTAATTTTATAAATAATTTGATAACTTGACAAAAAATTGATGATTTTAGGTTGCAGTTTAAACCCAATTGTTGTTAGAAATATTTCAAACATTAAATATTGAACAAACAAAAGTACTTGTAATCAACAAGTTATTTATTGCATCATTAACATTCGCATACCTTATAACTCAATAGAAAGCTAAGGCAGTGAATTAAAAACTCGAGACCATTATTTCAATGTAATTTAGACAAACATTACATTGGGAATGTCAATTCTAACATCAAGAAACCAAGTTCTGATTAGTTAAACATAAAGCAGAGAAAAAAAGTTGCAAGTCTAAACAAAAAAGTAAAAATATATTATAGTATTAAAAAACATGTAAAGACAAATAATTCTGGTTATACATACAAAAGTCCAGAAAAAAAACTTAATCTGTTAATCTAATTTTCACTACGTTACACGCTAATGTTATCATTTCACTGAATAAAAAGTATGAAAATGATGTGTATTTATACTTGTGATGAAGTATATTAAAATTTAAAAAATGATCATGTAAGCATTCAAAATAACAAAGAGACACAAAAGTAAAGTGTAAAAAAATAAAAATACCCTTGTTAGTCGGATTTCATGTACAGTCCTACCTGTCATGTAAATCCATCATTAAAAATGCCATAATCCATTATGTTGTTCAGTACTACCTGTCATGTAAATCCATCATTTAAAAAATGCCGAAATACAATATATGCCATTGTTCCATTAATAACAGTTTGAGAAAATATAATTAAACAAAAAATCAGGAAATTAATCCCAAAGATCGAATACTTTGAAATTTTGTTCTAATTTGAATAAATTTAAACAAAATACTATGTCCTGGCGTATATCTTATATTAAAGCTTCTCTACTAATATATCTTACTAATATCTTACTAATATCTCTGTATATTATATCTATATAAAATATCTTACTAATATATATATATATATATATATATATATATATATATATATATATATATATATATATATATATATCATATTGTTAATGCTTTGATGATAAAATAAATAATTTACCCTGTACCTAATTAAAAATTAAACGAGTTGTTTGTTTACGACAAAAACAAGCTCTGAGAAAAGTTTTTTTCCTCTTCGACTTTAAAATTGTATCCAACTAAGTGTAGAGAATTATCTGATTTGAAATATTAGATTCTTGTAAAAGAAAAATAAGTTCGGTCTGAACATAAAACAAGAAAATGTTCGATTTTAAATCAAACGGCAAAGGAGGAAAATTCTCCTGAAAATCTGACAAGAAAGCCATTTATTTCTGAGTTATTAAAACAAATAATCTGAAATAAAACACCTTTGGTTAATTAAAAAAGTTTTGCTATGCTATGTTAGACTCTTCTGTCAATGAATTGTATTTAGAAAATCAACAGCTAATCTTTTGTAACACTTTAGTAGCATGTGGTAGCATGTGGTGTGGTGTGCAGAGTTATAAAATCTGCAAACAATGATGATGTGTCCTTAACTAGCAGACTCTACATATCACTTCTTATCCAGGGACACAACCTTGTTTAAACAACAAATGTTTACTGAATCAATTACACGGTGATATAATTATGCTGTTTGGTGGACAAGAATAAAATGAAATGCAAAAAAAAAAAAAATGGTCGCATAACTCACATAGATATTTGTAAAAATTCTGTTTAGCGAAAAATGCAATAACTATTAACTACAGTAATAACTTATAACGACTAAGCAAAAATGCTGCAATGCGGTCAAATTATACTTCAAAACGGCTTATGTATTAATAGATTGTTTAAAATGATCATGAAACCTTAAAAATGCTTTTATGTATACAACGATTAAAAAATTTAATAAATCAACAAATTAAGAGAGAAGCATTAAGTGGGAGTGAGACCGGGACAAACAGCAGTTTTACCAGGCACAGATCATATTAACACAACTTAAGAGCGGGTTAGAGGAAGTTGATGCAACTTTTCAAGGGCTAACACAATAACGAAATGAAAATGTGTTTGCCCTTTGTTGAAAAGCTGCTTCGTGTTCTCATGAAAACTAGATGCATGCTAAACTTTGGCTGAAAGTCACCCGGGTAAATTAAATCAATTTAATATAACATTTTCAGACTAACACTATCAAAATATTTTTTTAACGATTTGTGTGTACTGAACTTGAAATTGAAAGAATATTTATCAATTTGTTTTGAATCTGTTGTTGCGTTTTTTGAAAATTTGTATTTTAAATTCAAATTTTAATATGTTATAAAACCGCGGCTAGTGATTTACTATTGGGAACAAAAAAAATATATCCCAAATTTTATGAATTCACATAGAGTAGAAGTAAAACTTAATATAATTTGTTTCTTTAATCATACGTGTTGCAGAAAAAAAACACGTCTTATCTATGCGCCTCGAAGGCACATTACAGGTATTTATAGAATATTAATTTATAAAAATAGTTCTTTGCTGTTGGTTCGTCATCCACCTCACCTCGCGGCGTAAACTTCTTTAAATATCATGTAAATATGTATAACAGATACAATTTATATGACAGCGCTTCATTAAGTTACCTAAACCCTGTTTATACTTAAACAAATGCAACATTTGGTATAACAAATTTTCTAAGAGAGATGCTTTTGTTCCATTAATGTAATAATTAATATTATTACAATCTATCTTTATCTCTCTCTCTCTCTCTCTCTCTCTCTCTCTCTCTCTCTCTCTATATATATATATATATATATATATATATATATATATATATATATATATATATATATATATATATATATATATATATATATATATATATACATATACATATACATATATATATATATATATATATATATATATATATATATATATATATATATATATATATATACACACATTTAAATTGTTCAATTTCATCTGTATATGTGACAGTAGTTTTTGAACAGAATGTAAAACATCTGAATCACTTGATACACCATAAATATAAGTTTCATCTGAGTCTGTGCTAATCTACGTGGCAGTGCTTTTGTATAGTTCATCTGTATCTATTGTATCAGTATTCATGTAAGTGGTTTTGTCTTTGTATAGTTCATCTGTATCTAACGTAACCCTTCATATAGTCTCTCTCTTAAGCTACGCAAGGTTGTTGATACGATCAGGCTTATGCTATCTTGTGCAAGAATTGTAACATTTGCTTCACGAAGGGCTCACTGGCTAGTCTCGCCAACTTTCTACCTTGAAACAAAGCTCAGACCAGAAGATGTGAAGGCTAGCAGGCCGAACACAAACGTTCCTAAAACATCAAAGCCAGCTTCAGCCTGCGGTTTAAAAACAAAAGTTTATAACGATTTTGTTCACAATAGCATAAACAATAGTTAAATTATAAGAAAAAATTTGTGAACAGATTACAGTAAGATAGTCCCTAGCAGTTATAAACAAAGTTTTATTGAATGCATTCATACATATGACTTTGAGTTGAAATGAAATTAAATTTAAAGTTTTATCTTTAGTAAACTGTAGAAACTACCTGCGCCTCACGCTACAGTGGTAGATAAAATATGGTGAAAATTAAAATCGAACAAGACATGGCCTGACCTCCAGCTAACAAGTCGCATGACCAGAAAATGAACTAAGTCACATGACCAGATTATGACATAAAAAGTCACATGACCATATCTAGGTGTCTAACAAGTCACATGACCAGTCCATGACCTAACAAATCACATGACCAGACCTTTACCTAACAAGTAACATGACCTGACATTGGCCTATTATGTCACATGACCTGACCTTGACCTAACAAGTCACATAACCTGACCTTGACCTAACAAGTCACATGACTTGACCCTAACCTAACAAATAACATGACCCTACCTTGACCTAATAAGTCACCTGATCACACCTTAACCTAAAAATCACATGACCTGACCTTGACAAATCTCACAACCTGACCTTGACCTAACAAATCACATGGCCTGACCTCGACCTAACAAATCACATGACTTGACCTACCTGAATGCTCCTACTCACGCCGTACTTGACCTTGTTGACGAAATGCTCACAGTTGTTAAAAAACAGGTTGTAGTGGAAAGGTCCAGTGAGTGACCTCGCCTCTCTAACTATAGTCTGTGTGTCGTGACTGGGCCATTCACTGGAGAAAATTGAAAAACTCATTCAACTCTGTATGTCAGAGATCGACCTGCCTTCGGTATCTGAGGTCTTCTAAGGTCATTTAATGTCATCTTAGGTCTTCTGTTGTCAGTGTCTTGAAGGGTGTTGCTAACCGTCCAACAATATGGAAGGTGTGATTTAATTAAAGACGTAGCTCATGTTGTCGAAAATGCATTGTTCCAGTTGTAAAGTATACACAACGTCCTAAGTCATAAGTCTATGAAATATCATCGGGGGGGGGGGGGGGACAACTCACTGAGATATCGTAAATTTTATTAATACAAATTCTCTCTCCAAATGCATACCTGTGCTTAATGCTACTCAACAGTTTTAGGACGAAAACCGTTGAATGCTATTCTACATTTTATGTTCTTGTTTAGATATACAGCACATAATGAAGTATGTTGACGGAAAATAATTGTATGAAGGACAAAGCACATTTAAAACAATATACAGTTTTTAGAAACTTAAAATTATTTTAAAAAGCGATTCAATCTAACCAACAAATCGACAGTCTAAGTTGAGACTAGTTCACTTCAGTGTTTCTTCCAGACTTTTTTTCAGAGCCCCCCCCCCCCCTCCCCCGAAGAGATGCCTGAAAGAAAATCTGGTTCACTTACTGGCGATTAGCTAGACTGGCCCTCCCATTGCGAGCTGCCCTGTGGAAACTTTCCTCTACGGCGATAGCCTTAGACCAGTGAGGTCTGCCCCAGGCCATCAGCAGACGTAGGATGGCACCGGACATCGTGACAGACTTGTCGCTGGAAGCCTTTAGGTGGATAACCTTACCGGAACCTGCAAGATTGTTGTAGATTTTATTACCGGAACCTGCAAGATTGTTGTAGATTTTAAAATTGTTTCTTAAAAATTAGCCTGCCTATTGTTGATTTGATACTTATACTGTAGATGGAGAAAGTACACTCCGGTTGTTGAAATTGCATGTTAATAGAAAACCAATGTTGGTAACAAAAATTACTATTGTTAGAGGTCGACCATAAATGACGTCACACTCGTAGGGGGCAGGGGGTCCGTAATTATGGATGATGTGTGATGAAGGGGAGGGGGGGGTACTGTGGTCTGACGTCACACTTTTGCATTATAAAAAAAAGCAATGTTAGAAAACGCATTTAGCCGTTATTTCGCGTTTAAGAAAACTGTTTTAATAAATTGTAATAGAAACTGATTAAAATATGATATGGATAAGAGGGATTTTGTGTTGTGACATTATGTTGTTTTAATAAAAGAATATGGCATTTTAACGGGATGTGTGAAAGTCAAATTGTGTGAAGACAGAAAGGAATTGGCAAGTTTTGTCAGTTTTTTTTTGTTTTGTCGCCTAGATAGAAGACGTCTTTGTTTTGTTACGTCATGGAAAGAAAGGTTTTGTCTTGTTGTTTTATACAGCGGTTGTCATCTTGTGTAGATGTGTAGTCTAGTCTCGTCTATGTCTGTTAGAAGGTGGTCTAGTCCACGTGAAAGATTGTATAGCTAACTTATTAAGGTAAAGATCGAAGTCAGAAATACGTACATAATCTCACACTAAACTTACCCACGTAAAGAGCGAAGTTAGAAATACTTAGATAATCTCACACTAAACTTACCCACGTAAAGAGCGAAGTCAGAAATACGTAGATAATCTCACACTAAACTTACCCACGTAAAGAGCGAAGTCAGAAATACGTAGATAATCTCACACTAAACTTACCCACGTAAAGAGCGAAGTCAGAAATACGTAGATAATCTCACACTAAACTTACCCACGTAAAGAGCGAAGTGGGAGAAGAAAGTCCTCTTGAACTTGACGATGTCGCCAGCCTTAAGCTTAGCTAGGAGTTTCTGGTTGTGGACATACACATCATCAACTGGACGAACACGAGGGTTCTGACCACACCGGCGGCAGGGTAGTAGAGTTTTAGTATTTGCCGATATAGCTATTTGTATCAGCAGTATGAGTTGTACCACAGCGAGGGTTAGGTCGAGTGATAGGGTCAGTGACAGTGTTAGGGTTAGGACTAGGGCTAATATTAGATCCAGGGCTGTTGTAGCGTGTTTGTCCTCGAATTCGTGCTGTTGACGCGCTGTTCTGTATCACACGGCTTAGAAAACAATTAGCTCATAGCTCCCAGGATTAGCTCGCACCTTGTTATCATCCTTACATTGTTCACTTAGCTCACGAAGGATTGATAATATCCTGAAACACAGTTGAAATAGTTCACACCTGACCTAACACAGATGTAATAGTTGACTCGAGCAAGAATATATTTATAGAAGAATTCAATCTTGTATTTCAATACCTATTTCATTTCAAGCTTTCATAAATAATCCACAAACTTAGTAGATGTTTTTGTTGAAAAGGTGTCTGCTGAATATACTCTTCACTAAACGAAAGAAAAATCACCATCTGATTTTAAATCGAAATACCTTGCTATTTTATAACTCAGCTGATAAAATAGTCAGGCCATGTCTGCAACACACCACAGCCAGTCAGCCCAAGACACCCAGATACACGTGATAAAGTGTGGATTTACCCGATCTACCAAACCCAAAAGTAGAAGATAATCTATTTATAGCCCACGTTCCATGCCATCTTTATCACTAATTACGTGGTGCCTACTGATGCGTGGATATGATATGTATCTATGTTACAGGGAGTGTTTCTCCCAGACTTCTTTCTCCGGGGGGGGGGGGGGGAACATGATATTTTTTTTGGGGGGGGGGGGGGGGGGTCAAAATTTTCCGGGGTGGGGGGGGGGTGCTGACACTGGTAAAAGTATATATTTTCTATATAAATTCCATTTCGTTGGGGGGGGGGGGGGGTATGACGTCATGGCCTTGAAAAAAAACCGATCGCATTTATACGACACAATTATTTTGTTTTAAGTGGGAATTTTGTTTAAAATATAGGTAGGTGTGGTTGACCTTTTCCCCCGGGGTCAAGGCTGGTGAAAATTAAAACAAAAATCACCGAGCCCGCTGTCGCTTAGTTGTGTAAGGAAGTAAGGTGGTATTTAAACCACAACAAACCTCGTTTTAGCTTGGGGGGGGGGGGGGGGGGGCGGGAGATATGCCTGGAAGAAATCTGGTTACGGGTATATGTAGGTGAATACATACACACACATGCATTTATATATATATATATATATATATATATATATATATATATATATATATATATATATATATATATATATATATATATATGTGTGTGTGTGTGTGTGTGTGTGTGTGTGTGTGTGTGTGTGTGGCAGAGGCGTAACGCCCGGGGACAAACTTTCGATTTGCACCCCCTCCCCCCTCAAACTTTCGATTTGCCCCCCCCCCCCCACCCGCTCTCAAACTTTCTATTTGCATCCCCCCCATTTCCCCCCCCCCCCCCCTTCCGCCCCCCCCCCCCTTCGTCACGCCTCTGGTGTATGGATGTGTGCGTGGGTCTATGTGGTGTATACATGTGTCTGTGATATCTAAGCTAGTGAGTGAATCTTGTTTGAATGACTTAAAAATTGGCTAGCACGCACTAATGTCTATTTCCTACAACACTACGCATTGCGTGTCAACACCACAGTATGATTTAGGCAACCAGCTGTCACAAATAGTCAACGTGCCCACAGCTATTTTTAGTTTCGTTTATCTGTGTTGGTATTTTTTTTGTGTGTGCATATTTACAGCAATGAAATATGTAATTATTGAAATAAAATTAATTTTACCAACATTGTTTTATGTATTGAAGAAAATGAATCTGAGTTCTATCGGTTCTCCGTTGACCTAATTAACAAGTAAAATCGGTAATTCCCAGTGCGTTACATCAGTCTATCACCTGTGTAATGTAATCATTACGTGTATTATTATGTATATTTATAGAAGTTTATATCGTTTGTAGAAATGTAGACGGTCACTGTGTTAGTGGGTGGTCAGTATGACATTTAATGGTGTGTTTGCCAGGCTGCTTAAGAGCAGGTTGTCATCTGATGGTTGTCTTGTTGCCTGGGTTGTAGGGTTGTCAATTTAAAGTTCTCTTGTTGACAGTGTGACGTTTCTTGTGTTGAAAGGTTGACGGCTGTTGGGTTGTAGGGTTGTAGGGTTGACAGTGTGATGGTTGTTGGGTTGTAGGGTTGATAATGTGACGGTTGTTGGGTTGTAGGGTTGATAATGTGACGGTTGTTGGGTTGTAGGGTTGACAGTGTAAAGTTTGTTGGGTTGAAGGGTTGACAGTGTGATGGTTATTAGGTTGTAGGGTTGACAGTGTGACGGTTGTTGGGTTGAAGGGTTGACAGTGTGATGGTTATTAGGTTGTAGGGTTGACAATGTTTAGGTTGTTGGGTTGTAGGGTTGACAGTTTGATGGTTGTTGGGTTGTAGGGTTGACAGTGTGACGGTTGTTGGGTTGTAGGGTTGACAGTGTGACGGTTGTTGGGTTGAAGGGTTGACAGTGTGACGGTTGTTGGGTTGTAGGGTTGACAGTGTGACGGTTGTTGGGTTGAAGGGTTGACAGTGTGATGGTTGTTGGGTTGTAGGGTTGACAGTGTGACGGTTGTTGGGTTGTAGGGTTGATAATGTGACGGTTGTTGGGTTGTAGGGTTGACAGTGTAAAGTTTGTTGGGTTGAAGGGTTGACAGTGTGATGGTTGTTGGGTTGTAGGGTTGACAGTGTGACGGTTGTTGGGTTGTAGGGTTGACAGTGTAAAGTTTGTTGGGTTGAAGGGTTGACAGTGTGATGGTTGTTGGGTTGTAGGGTTGACAGTGTGACGGTTGTTGGGTTGTAGGGTTGACAGTGTGATGGTTATTGGGTTGTAGGGTTGACAGTGTGATGGTTATTAGGTTGTAGGGTTGACAATGTTTAGGTTGTTAGGTTGTAGGGTTGACAGTGTGACGGTTGTTGGGTTGTAGGGTTGACAGTGTGACGGTTGTTGGGTTGTAGGGTTGACAATGTTTAGGTTGTTGGGTTGTAGGGTTGACAATGTAAAGGTTGTTGGGCTGTAGGGTTGACAGTGTGATGGTTGTTGGGTTGTAGGGTTGACAGTGTGAAGGTTGTTGGGCTGTAGGGTTGACAATGTTTAGGTTGTTGGGTTGTAGGGTTGACAGTGTGATGGTTGTTGGGTTGTAGGGTTGACAGTGTGAAGGTTGTTGGGTTGTAGGGTTGACAGTGTGATGGTTGTTGGGCTGTAGGGTTGACAATGTTTAGGTTGTTGGGCTGTAGGGTTGACAATGTAAAGGTTGTTGGGCTGTAGGGTTGACAATGTTTAGGTTGTTGGGCTGTAGGGTTGGCATTGTCAAGGCTGATATTAGCGCTGATGACAGACTGTGTGACAGAATCATTTTTAGTAGCACTGTCTGCCCAAAAACGTTCCCGCCAAAAAATCGACGTCTGTCTTCTCTACTGCTCACTAAAATACTCGCTCAGTTCAACAACATCCCATAACCTCAACACAGCATTTCATAACGCCAACCCTATCACAACAAAGAACGTGCTCAGTTCAACTACATCCAATAAACTCAATACATCATTTTCTAACTCCAACCCTATCACAACAACCAACGTCATCAACAGTGGTGCCTAGACATACGAGTTGTCCGTAACATTGCTCGTATATACAAGCAATTTTCTCCATTGAAATTACTTGAAAAGCCATACATCTGAGATTTATTTTGAGATTTATCTCTGTACAGGGAGATAACTGATGATATTAGGACTTATTCTTTAAAAGGGTCAGCAACGATAACCCAGAATTACCAAATCGACGTGTTTCCAACTGACCCGCGGTTGTCCCCCAACTTCCCAATGACCTCAGGTCAAGTGTGCTACACGAGGATAGCCCCGCTAGGGGTGGGGGAGACGTTCACACAGAACTGTAGCACCCCTATTGTGGGCACGCTAGGGGTGGGGGAGACGTTCACACAGAACTGTAGCACCCCCATTGTGGGCACGCTAGGGGTGGGGGAGACGTTCACACAGAACTGTAGCACCCCAATTGTTGGCACGCTAGGGGTGGGGGAGACGTTCACACAGAACTGTAGCACACCCATTGTGGGCACGCTAGGGGTGGAGGAGACGTTCACACAGAACTGTAGCACCCCCATTGTGGGCACGCTAGGGATGGGGGAGACGTTCACACAGAACTGTAGCACACCCATTGTAGGCAGGTTCGTCAGGTTCATCAGGTTTGATTTTTCAAAGTTTTGGTCATATGCACCTAAAACAAATAATTGAAGCTTTTTTAATGCATATTAGTTAATCATTTGTACTCTAATTTATCGGATACATGGATTACAATGATTTATATACCAGAGAATCACAAATACAGAAGTCGATTCATGTCCAGTAATCGTCCATTACGCCAAACTATAACAGTTCACGTGGTTCTAGATTCTTCAAACGATTAACGATTGAATTGTTATAGCCCACGTCATAAATATTTAAAGAACGAGACGATTGTCATGTACTAAAGTCTAACCCGCCCTGAACAAAGTTTGAGTTAGATGAATGCCCAAACAAACGTGGCTTCGATCTTTGAAACGCTAGCGTTAACAAATTACTTTGGGTGAAATAGGAGCAGCTTTCAGGCCCACTAATTAATTAATGTAGTTGTTCGGTACACCGGGGTGAGGAATTAAAAATTAAGGTTGACCAACACAAAAGTATTGTAGTCACCCCGTTATATAGATCGATAGCTTGTTGCTTGACAAGGTGTATTGCCGTATTACCTGGGGCTAGATATGTGTCTGTGCGGTATGTGTCTACTGTCTGTTTTGATTTGATTCGACTTAATGAGATTAAAATATCTTAAATTATCAAACATATATGCCTTCATATTAAAAAAAAATCTTTATTTTTTTGGGATCTCGCTTAATTTAGGATACTAAGTTGAAAATGGAAATATCCATTTTGATAAAGCGCATATTAATGTAGAGGTGTTTTTTTTACATTACCATTATATGGCTGCGTATAAAGTTAAAGTTGGTTAATTCTAAATTCTTAATAAATGCTAAGTTCTGTTACTCTTTATGCATTATAATAAACCGGGAATGATCTCCCCTAAACTTTCTCGAATATTCTAATATAACACTACGGGGGATGGCAACTAGGGATATAGACTTCTAGACATGATTTTTAATCCATTTTAAATACTCAAATTTTTTTAACATAGAATATAATCTCGTAGAAAAAAGAAATGCACACCAAGTGAACGCTAAATAAAGATGTGCATAATAGTGCGCAATATTATTAGTACTTTATAAACTTACATGCGTTTTTTGAGAAATCGGAAATAGCGTAAATAAGTACTTCCGGTCAACGGAAATTACACAAAACTTGACAGAGAATTAGATTTTTTACTTACATATCAAATTTCATTTATCTATCTGAAATAGTACTCAAGTTATAGGCTTTTGAAAAATTCAAAGTAGAAAAAGTACCACTTCCGGTTATCGGAAATCGCTCAAAAGTTGATACGGATCTACGATTTTGATAAAATACTTATATATGAAATTTCATCAACCTAGCTGTAACGGTACTCAAGTTATCGTGTTTACACACGGACACACACACACACACACACACACACACACACACACACACACACACACACACACACAGACATACGGACAAGATTGCAAAATTATGTTTTTCCGTATCAGTGAGATGTAAAACGTCGAGATTTGCAAAAATCTCGATTTTTTTTTTGCACGATTACAAGACTTTCTCTATAGGCCTACTTCGTATATACGAGAAAGTAAAAAAGGGCAGATAAATCATCCAAGTTCTGGTCACCATTTAATTGTAATCGAAATCAATGCGTCGCTTTTTGCTAGACGGATGTAAGTTGCCAGGAAATGTCTGTGTCGTCTCTTCTCCCAATCTTGACGACCTTACATCTGTGTCTGGTGTCTGCAGGTCTCTACAATGCTGCCCTCTATAAACCTGCCTACCAGAGCTCGGATTATCCATTCTTTGAAAACGGAACCTTGACGGCAGATTTGGGAAATGACGGGTTTGACGATCCTTTTTGGTTTCACAGACACTGCCAGACGACCAACAACGACACCCCGGGATGGTGGATGGTGGATCTGAGAGGTCTCTACACTGTGGAGCAGATTGTCATCACAAACAGGTAGATTGGTATATTCTTATAAGATTTGTAAACACACACATGGCTTTTTAATCAGATTTGATTTATTTACATCTACCCATTTGGCTAGATAGAAACTTGCAAATAAAACTTCGGCCATTTCTACTGAACCGACCTGACCTGGACGTAGGGCTTCTTCTTCGTTCTTAATTTTTTTTATTGTTGGAAGGGATCCCCCTCCAAAACAATTAAGTATACGTGTCAACTGGTTATGCGTCATTGAGGCCATTGACTCCGACTTCAGCCTGCTTTTCTGTCTGGATTTGCTTCCATAGAAGTCCAAACAAGAACAAACTACAAGACAGCAGTTGTTTGATTTTGGAGTTGTCTGTCCCCAGCTAACGAGCCTCATCTGCCCGATGGTTCGATCTCGAGACTTTTCGGTTTACCAACCATGAGCTTTACCGTAGGACTGTTGATAAGGAATCTACCCACAGTCTAGATACGGGATAACTCTAGAGAACGCCGCCATTCGTATATTTGCTATGCTGTTATAATAAAAACTACTTCACAATTTTATATTGATGTGCGATACCGAAATACTTACACAAGATGTTGGTTGAATTGGTTTCAAAACGTGATGTAACATTTTAAGTTTGTAAACAAAGATATAGAAAGCAGAATGTGCTTTTTTTCGCTGGTACAACATGCACTAAGTGAACAAGTAAGACGTCTACTGTACTTAATTATTTTTATGTGAAAGTTGTTATATTTCACAGGGGCGACGACCAACCCTCATCAGACCGAGCCCAAAACTACCAAATCGACGTGTTTCCAACTGACCCGAGGTTGTCCCCCAACTTCCCAATGGCCTCAGGTCAAGTGTGTTACACAAGGATAGCCCCGCTAGGGGTGGGGGAGACGTTCACACAGAACTGTAGCACCCCCATAGTGGGCAGGTTCGTCAGGTTCATCAGGTTGGTAGACTCAGTGTTGTCAGTTTAAAACGTGAATTTATTCCATTAAAATAACTCATGTACCAAAACATAAAGTTTAAAAATGACACTTAAATTAAGATGTCTTAGAGCTCTACACTTCTACAATAACTTGACATTAAATAAAATTTAATTAAAAATAATCTAAGCATGACGAAAAATAATCTCCTTCTATTATTTAATTAAGCTGTTAAGATAGATTAAAGGTTTGTCATTGGTACCATTAAATTAGGAGTAGGCCTACTCAAGCAGGAAGAGAATATAATAGTGCATTTTATCGTTCCGTGTTTGCATGAAATTTTACCGTGACCTAGACAAATGAAAGTCTAACAAAAATTACTTCGTGAGTAAAGAAGAGTAACACGGTCAAAGGGGAACAACCCGGATAATACCAAAACAAATAAAAGAGTGCCAAGGGGAATGAAACAAATAAATTTATTCTTCAAATGTAAATGTTTGACTGTTTTTTTTTGTAGGGCCTGCATCCAATAAACTGAATCGTTGTTAAAACTTATTGTTGTATAATATATATATATATATATATATATATATATATATATATATATATATATATATATATATATATATATATATATATATATATATATATATATATATATATATATATATATATATATATATATATTTATATGTTTATATTTTTAACCTATACACACACACACACACACATATATATATATATATATATATATATATATATATATATATATATATATATATATATATAGGTTCCATGAAAAATGATCTCAGGACAAATGATCTCAGACAAAATATCTCAGACGACAAAATATCTCACGCACAAATGCTCTCAAGTTAAATGATCTCAGGACAAATGATCTCGCGGACAAAAGATACTAGGACAAAATATATCAGAACAAATGATATCATGGACAAATGATCTCAGACAAAATATCTCAAAGGGAAATTTTAGTAGTAGGTAGGATGATTTTAGTTGATTTGAACAATTTTTATTGACTGTCAATATGGTTTTGTTTACTTTTTTACGCATAATAATTGTGAATAAAATGAATTTGTCAATTTAACAAACTATAAAAAGATTTATTAAACTTTGTAGTAGCATTTGATTTAAAAAAGTAAAAATTATAACAAACTTACTTACTCCTTTAGCCTGAAAGGTATAATAAATGATAATTTATAAAACAAATAAAGTCACGGTAGCTATACATCATTAATGTATTAATTAATTAATCAAAACAAGCGAAATGTTTTTCAAAAATATGAATGGGTCTTCAGGTTCGTAACGTAAAACTATTGTTTTTATTGCATCATCAACACAAACATAATGCTTACGTTTCTTTGCTGGTTGGTAAATCGTTGTGACAACACCTTTCCAATACTATGTGATCATGTATTGTGTGAACTCTTGCTCGACGTGTCGTAATTTCACATTTCCAAATCTCTTTGCATGATTATGGCTTTTATAAACATAAATTAACCAGAAACTAATATCCTAAAATCTTTCTGCGAGGTAACGAAAAAGGCAATAGATGAGTAACCTCCACTAATACTGCTTTGATTGCATGCACACTACGACAAACTTTGCTCCGCGATGACCGCTGTTGTTTAAATAAGAATTTGTCAACTGACCTAATTACTAAGGTGTGACCGACGCTTAGCTATTGACTATAGATGTTTGTTGTATTGTCCATGGAGGGCGGTTGTCTTTCACTAAAGGCATGTCTCTGCCACCAAAGCGGGCTGCCACCTTGATACGAAGGTGTGTCTTTATTGTTATTTCATTCCTTTCTATCTAGTTTCGTCCACCTAACATGATAAGATTGTCTCATGTTTGGCAAGCCCACCTGTCTATCGAAAAAATTTCTTTAATCTTCGTATACTATATTACAAATACTAACTTTAAAATATTTAGAGCAATATGACAAATTTATACGGCAAAAATTTCTTACAATTATTGTATAGGCCTATAAACAATATTAAACATAGTAAACAAAACCATATGACAGTCAATAAAAAATTGTTCAGATCAACTAAAATCATCCAATACACTATTAAAGTTTTGCTGTGAGATATTTTGTCAGAGATATTTTGTCTGAGATGATTTGTCCATGATATAATTTGTCCTGATATATTTTGTCCTGGTATCTTTTGTCCTGAGATAATTTGTCCTTGAGATCATTTGTCCTGTCACCATATATATATATATATATATATATATATATATATATATATATATATATATATATATATATATATGTATATATAAATATTTGCAGATACACCCCAGACTTAATGAATTTATGCGAGATCAAGGTCATGGCCAGTTCCGTATCCTACCGAGAAAATAAATTTTCCAGGACCGAAAACTCTCGTCTCACCATAGCACCATTTACAACCACCACCACTACCAGCCCTACCACCTGCTCACTGACGTGTCTGGAGCGTCGTGACAGCGACACCTGCACCGCATTCAATTGGATTCGAACCTCTAACCAGTGTCAGATGTTCAGCCTTGACCCACGCATCCCAGTCTCACTCACTGCTGACTCGGACACAGATTTTTATATCCAGGCCTAATTAGTTTTACGTCATGTATACAGGCCTAATTAGTTTTACATCACCTGTACAGACCGGCCTAATTAGTTTTACGTTATCTGTACAGGCCTAATTGGTTTTACGTCATGTATTCAGGCCTAATTAGTTTTACGTTATGTGTACAGGCTTAATTAGTTTACTTCATTTATACAGGCCTAAACGTTTTACGTCATGTATACAGGTCTAATTAGTTTTAAGTCAAGCGTTATGGCTGAATTGGGTTCTAAAAATGTCCTAGATCTAGTTATTAAAAGAATTGCTTCGAAATTTTGGAAAATTATTTTTACATATACTCAATCCGTTTTATATAATAATTAAACACAAATTGACAATTAAAGAGAGAGAGAATTTAAAAATGAGTGTTTTCATATATTTACATCTGTCTGGGTCTTCTGCTTACTGTAATACACAGGACCACACAACGTATAGCGCACAATATAGAGGACTTAACAATATACTAGATTTTAATTTAATAAAGAGTTTAATACAGTACATTGATAATACAAAAATAATTTAAAAAACGTGATACTATAAACCTTTTACACACTCGTTCATGCCCCCCTCAGCCCCCCCCCCCAACACACACACACATACACAATCAGGGGACGCTACTGGTAAGGGACGTGACAACATCATACTAAGTCATACGGCAACATTTATACGTCACATACACGGCAGCAGGAACAACAACTGTTGAAATAAAAAACATGCAAGTGAGGGAATATGCGAAATAATACGTATATTGCATATTATATGTATAGGCCATATCCCTTGGTTCACTTAAAACACAACGACTAATTTTGTAGTCGACTCATTACTTTGAATTGCGAACTTATTAAATGAAATTTGTTTTGTTTTACTTTTACCCAGCTCGTATGGTTTGCTAATAACAATATATTCATCTTAAAAACGATTTTAACATTTCTTACGAAACAGCCCATTTATATAACAATTTACAACTTTGAGAGTGGCGTTGATATTATTTTGCAAATCGTGAAGTTAGAGCAGTTGAGATGGTTGTGTATCCATCTGGTTACTGTGTTCCTAGTGTAATGCTAGCTGACCTTTAGCATTCGAGCTGACCAGAGCTAACAATGGCCAAACTCATGTGACCATTCAAACTACCAACCACTGGCTGGTGACTCACACTACCAACCACTGACTGGTGACTCACACTACCAACCACTGACTGGTGACTCACATTACCAACCACTGACTGGTGACTCACACTACCAACCACTGACTGGTGACTCACACTACCAACCAGAGGCTGGTGACTCACACTACCAACCACTGACTGGTGACTCACACTACCAATTACTGGCTGGTGACTCACACTAGTTGACTCACACTACCAACCACCTGCTGGTGACTCACTACCAACCACTGGCTGGTGACTCACACTACCAACCACTGGCTGATGACTCACACTACCAACCACTGGCTGGTGACTCACACTAATTGACTCACACTACCAACCGCTGGCTGGTGACTCACACTACCAACCACTGGCTGGTGACTCACACTAATTGACTCACACTACCAACCGCTGGCTGGTGACTCACACTACCAACCACTGACTCGTGACTCACACTACCAACCACTGACTGGTGACTCACACTAATTGACTCACACTACCAAACACCTGATGGTGACTCACACTACCAACCAGGGGCTGGTGACTCACACTACCAACCACTGGCTGGTGACTCACACTACCAACCAGGGGTTGGTGACTCACACTACCAACCACTGGCTGATGACTCACACTACCAACCAGGGGTTGGTGACTCACACTACCAACCAGGGGTTGGTGACTCACACTACCAACCAGGGGTTGGTGACTCACACTACCAACCAGGGACTAGTGACGCGTGAGACCATAATTTTTTAAAGAGCTGCTGAAGATGTTTCTCCTTACTGTACTTTGTGTTGTGACTTTAGTATGGCGTTGGTCTAATTTCATATGCCAACTGTCTTTTAGTGAACACTATTGTGAACTATGCAAAACGTATACTAAAAAAAATAGTATTAGATTAGTATTCTGTCGACTCATGCTATTTTAATGTAACCTGTAAACTGGTCATAAAATGCTGTTGAAGATACTATGTTGACAACAGTAGCATCATTAAATTTGTAAAACTACCAACAAACACAACCCATTTTAATTACTATCTACAGCCTATATAAAACTGAAAGAAGTCGTGAGTTTAAAATACCCAGGCACTAAGGGGGCGGGGAAACCAGGCAATAGAAAAAAGTAACTGGTGAATAAAATTAAAAGAAACAATTAAAGGGCTTTAAAGATAGCAACTCATCTCTGTCTAAATAATTGTATTTTAATATCGTGCGATATCTTTCGCAATTATTCTATCTGGTATCTGTTTACATAGTTACAAAAACCTAACAACAAACCCAACCACAACCACAAACACCAATACGAACACAAAGAAAAAAAAACGAAAAAGCAAACGAAAACAAACCAAATCCAAAGAAAAAAAAACACAAACGAAAATGCAAACGAAAACAAACCAAATCCAAACGCAAAACCAACCACAAACACAAATACAAACACAAACCCAAAGAAAAAAACACAAACGAAAACGAAAAAAGAAAACGAACCAAATCAAAACGCAACCACTAACGCAAACCAAACCTAAACACAAAGAAAACACTAACGCGGACATAAACGCAAAGTGCTCACAGTCTAGCCCGGGGCAGAATTGCCTGTTTCAGCTTAATAATCGACTACAGTACCCCAACTTATTCATAGTCTTTTGCACTCACTTAAACGAACGTAGGTGCCAAACAAACCAAATGAACAATTATAATACTCCAAGCTTATTCGTAAAATACCTACAACATTTGCACTTTATCAATTCCCGCTAATTATGTAATTATTTTTTTCCCAACACCAAAACAAAGTAATAAAAAGTAAATTTTTTTCCACTAATGCACTGTTTTATAAAGGGAAGTAATTGTGTTTTCCTAATTTATCAAATGGAAGTAAGTGCTAAAGGACTAAATATAAATAATTTTCAGATATAATTAGAATTTTTGTTATTATTTTAAAATTATGTTTAATGAACATGCCGACAATTATTACTATCAGTTTGAAAAATGAAAATTATTTCCAAACACTTTCAATGGTAATTTTTTAACTCATAAATTCAGACTATGATCACGATAATAGTCTAACACTTAAATCCATCGAAGTATGTCAACGACAAACAAACTTATTTTTACATACAGAATTGAGCTTTATATATTAGATTGACAAAGTTAACAAAGCAATAAATTAAGTCGTCCGTATTTATTTATTTTTATTATTTATTTATTATTTTTATTTTCTTATTTTCGGTATCTGTAAAGATTTTGCTCTTGAAAATAAACTGACTGCTTGCCATATTTATGTCAATCTTTTAAAGACGTTACTTGTACAAGGTAACTTCAATTAGACACGGGCTGTGTATGTTAAAAATATGAGGGGCTTATACCAACATGAGGCTCCAAATATATCAACTTGATGTTCCACATATGAAGGTCGTCTATCAACTTAACCTTTTAAATATGAGAGGCATTTATCATCTTGATGTTTTAAAATATGAGGGACATATATCAACTTGATGTTTTACATACGAAGGGCATATATCAACTTGATATTTTAAATACGAAGGGCATATATCAACTTGATGTTCCACATATGAAGGTCGTCTATCAAATTAACCTTTTAAATATGAGGGGCATATATCAACTTGATGTTTTAAATACGAGGGGCATATATCAACTTGATGTTTTAAATACGAGGGGCATATATCAACTTGATGTTTTAAATACGAGGGGCATATATCAACTTGACGTTTTAAATATGGGGGCATATATCAAATTGAAATTTTAAATATAAAGTGCGTCTATCAAATTGATGTTTTAAATATGAATGGCATAAATGAACTTGATGATTTAAATATGAGGGGCATATATAAACTTGACGTTTCAAATATTAGAACAATCGGTAAACATGATGGTCAACCAACAAACGAATATATTTTAACATCAGTAATTCGAGAGTGATTATATATACAGTTGTATACACATTGCGTAATGTCAAGAGGGAAATAATATGACGTAATGTAATGGGGAAATGACGGGAACGTGGAGTGAGCTGAGTCACTCATCTGTTGATGTTCACCCAAGACAGAAAAGACGTACGCTTCACCTCTTCAGTAAAACTCAATGATTTAAAAAGGGCAGATATTGCTCAGTGACTGTGGTCACCATTTAGATCTAGTTATAAGCAAAGCCGCGCCCAGCTCTGCGAACGTGCGGGATAAAATGGCGTCCATGTTCTGGATGTTTCTCCCAATCTTGACGACCTTACGTCTGTGTCTGGCGTCTGCAGGTCTCTACAACGTTGCCCTGTACAAACCTGCCTACCAGAGCTCGGATTATCCGTTTCACAACGACGGCTTCTTAACGGCAGATCTGGGTAACGACGGAAATGAGTCTACGATTTTGGACCTCAGACACTGCCAGACGACAAACAACGACAACCCAGGATGGTGGATGGTGGATCTGAGAGGTCTCTACACGGTGGAGCAGATAGTTATCACAAACAGGTAGATTTATTTGTAGGTAGATTTTAATTGTATATTTCTTGATACTTACAATAAAACGTTAAACTTTGTAGCCAATACTATTATACTTTAGCCTAGAAATTCATTTAAATTAATTTAAATTGATTTCAAAGATTATTATTGTTAATCGCCTGTCTTTGCGAACACATTTCTAAATGTTTAAATTAAATTTTAAACGACTTGAACCACTTTCGTGTACCACTCATATCTGCGTAACCAAATTAGTGAATTAGACAACATGCTAGATTTTATCGCTAAAATTTGTCCAAACAATTTTTCTATCTAGCCTAGTTTTTCCCGTGAACTAAAGGGAATTATATGGTTTGGAAGGGGAATAATATCTTACGCAGTTCCAGTGTCCAGCTCTTTGCAAGTTGAACAAATGGAAGATAGAAACTTTAGGCGTCGCTGCTCATATTTTACCTCAAATTGTAGAATTGAATTCGACAAAAACTTGCGAGCTAAAAAAAAAAGATGAGTAATGTTAGCAGCATCATATATTTCATTCGCGATCTAGAAACTTTTCAACCAAACAATATGAAGTATTTTAAATATGTAACACAT